ATGATGAGTTTGTGCGTTCGCGCTTAAGCCGCTTACGTAATCTTTGTTGTCAAACAAAAGCGCCTAGGCAATGCGCCAAAAGCAAATCTCAAACAGGTAGCCAAAACCTCAACCGGCAACGAGCGGTACTTGCATACATTCATATGTATATAAAAAGCTGAAGAGAGTGTGGCGAACGTTTGCCGGTTTTATTAATGTATACCCTGCAATCACGCACTTGGGGATCTTACAGACTTCAGATTTCTATCAATATTGTTTATTTTAAAAACTTGAACTTTTCGCGTCGCGAATAAATAAAGAGATTACTTAAAGGCATACATTTTCGAAAAGTTCATATGTATAAAACAACAAGTGGGTGTTTCCGGTCTCTTGACCTAGGTATAGGGTAGTATCTAGTGGTGTTATTTGTTGCTGTCATTTTTGTTTTATTCCCCTCACATTTATATACATACATACATATACAGACATATGAATGCGTGTGTGTGTGTATTCCTTTAATACCCGAACGAATTCTCTCGCACGCGATAACTAGAAAGTCTGTTGGAAGCTACCAGGCCAAAACGTTGCTAGGCGTTGCTCGCTCCGACTCAAGAGAGCTGCGTAATTATGATTTGCACTTTGCACCGTTCCCTTATCACCGTTTGACCGAAAGCAGAGAGAGCAAATAAACCTGAATACAAAGCTTGCTAAAAATTGTGGAATTGCCAAACCTTATGCAGAGAACCGAAAGGCAAATTAAATACATGAGAACGAATGTATGTATGCATACTTATGTACTTATATGGATTTTGCAATAAAAATGGGTGAAAAATTTCCAGGCGCGTCTCTACTGTCACCAGAAAATGTTAGTACACTGCATATTTATAAAGGAACTCTCTGATATGGTGGTTTAAAGTATCTGCGCTGATTAGCTATTAGAGCTAATGTTTTTTAATGTATATACTATTTATATAATAATTAGTTATTCCACAAATAGTTTTAGTGATAATACAAATTTCGGATAGATTAATATTGGATTTGGCAGACAATTTGAATAACAGTTAACCTATACCACCTACACTGAACTATCAAATTGTATTGTAATATATTGTAATCGAATACTTATGCATGCGAATAAAGCGGCAAGCATGTGTATGTAGTAAGCTAAATTTATAAACATTCATACATATATTTGTATACATGAACATGCTTATCATGCGACTACGTTTCCAGCTTATAAATCAACATACGAGTGAAAATCCTACGATTGTGAATCAAGTTTATTATAAACTATAGCCAAAAATTCCTAATTGATAAGAATATTGTGAATAGTGTACATGCCCATGACCATTTCACGGTTCATGGTACGGAAAATTGCAATTGAATCAAATACGAGCGAGCTGATTAGACGGTTAGTTTAGTTATTAATCAAGCGACAATTTGAAAAAATGATTAAATTTTGATAATCAATATTACTAACCAACAACAATAACGAAGATCTTTGTAAATAGAGGCCACTAATTGCGGTTAATGATTCATGTGCCACGGCAGCTGTCGCCGATTACTTGAACTTTGCGCATGTGACGCGGCTGCGTGTATGTGTATTCACAGTGAATAATGCACAATTGGGTCTAGCTTGTAAACATATTAGCGAGCTAAAATGCAGCAATTTCAAATAAAACGTAATTACAAGATGCACATCAGTTATGAATGAATGCCGGTGAATAAATTACATCGTTGAAGATAAACAAAAAAATTTACGAGCGTCCAGGGTCAGGTTCTACCTAGTAAAACGAAAGTTCAGACAAGTTGTTTTGGTCAATTTAGCTTTTCATGATAATGCAATTAACTGCAATATTGCAATACGAGTACTTTCTAGCAGGCTACAAACATTTTCTTAGTTTTCGAAGTAGGTAAATCTATGCCGAATTAATGTGCAAACTGATTTTATAAATTAGCGATGTCATTTTATAAAGGAATCATATCAATAAAATAAAGCTAGAATTTGTTTAAAATTTGAGTATTTATATAATTATGAATTTAATGAGTATGTTTATGTGTTTATGAGTATATTCATTCAACAGAGACCCGAATTATACCAACTAGCATACATTTTTTTATATTTAACTTGAATATCTGTTTAGTAAAATTGTTTGTATGTAGCAAAAATTCTTTCCACTAAGGAAAGCATTTTCACAAAATCAAGTGAATGAACATTGAATTTGAAAGTGGTTACTGTAAAAAAATTATGCGCATGTTTGCTGTTAGCTAACATTTTGGCGTGGCTGTAATGTAGATGGCACACACAGTTAACAGCTGGGCAGTGGCGTGAGATCGCTGCACTCACACACGCACACGCATACATAAGTATGCATGTGCAGTGTGTGGGAGGGAAAACAAAATCAAAAACAAATTGCATTGGGCCCACATATCGATATTATTAACTTTTATGTACATCTGCTTTTATCGTATTTTCTATTGCTCTACTTACGGTTCGCGCAGCACCGGCGCTATTTTGTACAAACAATCCAGAAACTGCTCATCGAGACACCAAACGCTCGGCTTCAGTGGCTGGCTGTGTACATTGAGGATGCGGAATAGAATGCACACGATGACGGCGATGAGCGTTAAAAAGGCGGTGGACATCTTTAGGTTTTCTGTTTCGCACCTGTAGGTGTCGCTTGCGACCTCAAGGATGTTGATGCGTCCTTCTACCCTTGCAGCAGTCGTTGTTGCTACTCAACTTGTCACTGCACCCTGAATTGTACAAAATTCTGGTTTTACAAATCAGAACTGCGGCTTATGAGTTATGATTAGAAATGTGACTTTATTAATTTGTGTTGTACACAAAAAGCTTACTATGTTTTACAGCTGGCAAGGCGGGCGGCGGCTGTAAAGTGTTTTTGAGTTTCTTAACAGGCACACATAAAACACACACACGAAGCGGCAATTGCCGCTGAGCTAACAAGGTCGCGATTCAGGACACACGCGTTAGTAAACTGCACTTATGTATGTAAATCAATTATTTACACCGTTTGTCTTATCATATACAATAAATTTTGTTCGACGTCAGTTCAGCAGTATTACTCAGTCAATGGTCCTCAATCGTCTGGCGTTGTTTTCAACCAAGTTATGTTAACTATCAGGCACTGTTTTACTCAAAATGGCACTGTTACGTTTTTTGTCATTTTTTAGTACATTTAGTGCAAGCAAACTTTATTTGCGCGCTGTGTATATTTTTTATAAATACCGTTTCAAATATTAGAAACAAATATATTTTAAATTTAACATTCAATTGACTTATTTTGCACAATTATTACATTTAATTTCTTATTATCCATTGTTCAGACTACTGTTCACATATAAAATACATATTAATTATACAAGGTTCATCATTCATTTTAAGACTTTTATTCATTTTCCATTAATGAACGCAATGCTCTCTATTGGCTTTATTGTCTGGTTGTCCATTATACCAGATCAAATAGGGAGCCTTGCGACCGGTGGTAAGTGATATATATTGTCCTTCTTGATTGAGATCATTGACGTCAAGCCAATAATTGTGATTGTGGTTTAATTTGGCTTTTATTGCTTCGTACTCTCTTTCATTTTGGATGCTAGCCAGGTGACCGCCACGTTGTTGGCATTCGTATGCCGCAGCGAACCAGTTCATCTTGTGTCGATCTTCAATATAATAATATTTCGAACCTATTTTAGTGAAATTGCTGGGATGATCTTTTCGTTTCCTTTCGATCTCTTGCAACTTTTCTTCCTGTTGAGCAACCTTCTCTTGTAGTACCAAAAGCTGACTCGTAATATTGTTGTACTTAGTTTGGGTGTCATCGAACTTCGACTGCAGGCTTGCCAATTGTTCCTCAATCTTTATAAATTTTGGATGGACATCAGCAACCTTTTCATGTAAAAGTGTCAGCTGCTTCCCAAAGTCTTCCAACTTGGCTGGAGTATCTGCATTCTGTCTGTGTTCTTGGCTTGCGACCTGTTTCTGCAATATGGCCGTGTGTTCCAGCACAGGTTTCACTATTTTGAAACAATATTTGCCACAAGTATTTTCCAATCCACTCGGCTCCTCACAGGACTTTAACAAAGACACATTTAGATGCTGATATTTAATGATTAAAAGGGAAAACCTACCGAACCGCTGCCTTTATAAGCTGCCTCAGAAATTAGAAGCGCGATTAGAATAATGTACATTTTTTTTGCTCTCAATTTTCACAGCTTACCAAGGAAGTCAACAGACAACTAAAATGAATGCACAATATGCTGCATTATATATACACAGTGTGTACCAGTATTTTGATATTGTTTTTATAATCTTTATACATATTTTGGATTCCTTAGAAATGGTAGACGAGGTTATCAACTTAGCAAGATATGTAAGTCATATGTTATCAAGCTCGAACAAATATGGTTTGAACTTAGAAAATATACAAAGCGCCTTTAATATTATTGTACTACATTTCCTGGAATTAAAGACGAACAAAGAAAAATCATATTAAGTTCTTCTTCTTGGGTATCTTCTTGGCTTGGGTATCTGGATTCTGTCTGTCGTCGTGGCTACTTTATTGTTTCTGCTACTACTTTTAACAATATTTGCCAGAAGGATTTTCCAATCCTCTCGAATCCTCGCAGGACTTTAACAAAGACACTTTTAATAACTGATATTGAATTATTAAAGAGGAGAGCTCATCATTCTCGTCTGTGTCTTCGTTGTGTCTCGAACAACAACAACGTGTATCTTTAGCTGGGTATAAGGTATTTTCTAGTCGGTCACTTCCGTTACTTGATATCCTTTTATTGATTTGGTCATATTATCCAGTCAACCGGTAGTTATGTACTGTTGGAAGATATGAGCATGTTACGGTAAATGTAAATTTAAATCAACCTTTTGGCGGGTTTACAACTGTTGATTGCTTTTAGAGACCAATAGTAGGAGTCTTATCGATAGCAGTTCGTAGACACTTTTCGCGATATATCGATGCATATCGATAGTTTGGCATTCACTCAGCGAGAACACGTATGTGCATATGTGCGTGCGCCAAAAAGGCAATGAAAAATTAAAGTTCAAGTAATGTTGCTTACCAGCAGCACAATTACAGCATTTGTTGCTTAACATACGTAAGTGCTGGCATATAGAATTCAAATTGAAAAGATAATGCCCACCGACTTTACAGGTTATGTGTGGGTACCGCAGCGGCAACACGGCAACAAAACAAGCAACAGGAACACCGTTGCCCGGCACGTCGACGACGCGACTTAAACATAAATATAAATTACCAGCAACCATTCCAAACGCTCCAAAATGATGATGCAAATTGTGTGCCTACTGATTGGCCGACTGCTGCTCATATGCGTCGCCGCCTACGAGCTGCTGCAACAGCTCGGGCTGCGACTGCATGCGCTCGCTCGCAGGTCATATGACTACTGGCAATGTGATCAGCATGAGTTTCTTAGGCGTGCCAAGCACGAGCTGGAAAAGCTGCCGCAGCACCTGGTGCTAGTTATTGCCCCGGACGATTGTTATGTGGATGCGTCGCTGCTTAAGCTCATTTTCGGCTATGCCCAAGTTGTTGGCATACCCTATTTAAGTGTGTACGATACGCGTACGCCCCGGCTTGGCTATGTGGAGCTATCGCGCTTCTGTCAGCCCAGCGAGAAGAGCGATCGGTGCTACCTCTGGCCGCCCAAGCAAATAAGGGAACAAAGTCTACAGAATGGCTGCAAAGCTGTCGCTGCAAATGGCACAGCCAATGGCTATGCCAGCAACGGTGGGCATTACGCCCAGCTGCAGGTGAGTTATCATTTAGGAACTGATAAGGGCTTATCATAAACTAGCGGAAGTAATGAATCCAAAGCTCCAATACATAGCAAGAGTATATGTTATGCGTGCTATGTGGACTCTCTTTTAAAGTGGTTAATTTTAAATTAGTTGTAAAATCTCTTTTGAGCAGATTTGAAATGGATCCGAAAATATTTTTGTATTTATTTTTTTTTATTAATTTGGTATCTGTCGTTTCCATGGAAGTGCCAAATCAGTTCAATGTATTTCGGTTGATTAGAACCTATTATTATTATTTTTTTCTTATCACTCACAACTCGTTCCCATGCAGGTCTATCAAATCGGAAGCTCTGACGGTCATGCGCTTATAGCCGATGTCTGTCGCGAGCTGTACGAGAATCGCACAACAGCCCAGGTGCAGGAGATGCTGAAGCAGCGCCAGTCGCTAACCGATGGCATTAATGGCAGGTTAAACAAGCGGCTGGGCTTTGCGGTGCCGGAACCGGAACTGGGCATCATTTTCTCCAGACAGACGTGCACATACGGCCTGCTGCCGTGGCATGTGCGCTTCACCGAGTTTCACACGCATCGCAGCGGGCGTTACTTTGATGCTAAATCGTTTGCCAAGGTGCTCTATAAATATGCGCGCTGCGAGCAGCGTTGGGGCAAATAGATATTAAGTTAAACATGGTCCCTATGTTCTAAACTAATTAAATTAATTTAATATATACATATATACATATATATATGCATATGTACATGTACGGTGTGTTAGATTAAGTTGGCGCTTGCAAACTGTAAAAAAAACTCCACTAGAGATTTAAGCAAAAAAGTGAAAAGAAAACTGCACACACACAGTCACACCCTATGCACACAAATTTGCGAGTGTTTGTTATTCATAAACGAAATTGTATTTGCAGAGATTTACACATGAAGCATGTTAATTTGAGTTTTGCATAAATATTTTATGTATTTTAATTGTAAGTTCGTTTACTTAGCTGCTAGTGTTAGGTTTTTATTGTATGTATTTTGTTTCCTGCTTGCGAACCTTGCGCTCTACTCCCGCTCGGGCTGGGTGTGTCGCTTAGACAATAGATTGAAATCGGTAACATATTGATTCTTCTCAATATTGTTATGCGGCCCGGAACTGCTGGGCATGCGTTCGTGTATCAATTGAAACGAGTTGCGCAAGTCCATCAATGAGTCAGCCAGACCCTTCTTGATGTTGGCAAATTCACTGGACATTAGCGACAACTTGCCCAGCAGATAGTTGAGATTGTCGTCCATGTCAATCATGTGCTTTTTGGTCTCCTCCACTTTGCTGCTCAGGCCCATCATGGTGCTAAAGGTGCTGTTCACATAGCCATCGTGTCCCGCCTGCATCAGGCCCAACATTTCCCGGCTCTGGCCAATCTCGCTGGTCATGATCTCGATGCGATGCCACACCTGTGTCAGCGCAGTGTCCAGCAGTCCGCTTATGTTGCGATTCGCCTCCTGCTGTGTGTTCACCACAGCATCGTCCAGTTCGTTAAAGCGCGTCTTTACCAAGCTGGTCAGCTCGGCCACTTGCTGCTCCAACAGCAGGCTTACCTTCTGCACGATCTGCAGCGTGCCAAACTCCACCTTGCGCTGCGTGTCCAGCACCACCTCAGAGTTGGTCATCATGATATTGTTGAACTTGCCCAGCGCATCGAAACCATCGTTCAACTTGCTGTGGCTGGCGTTTATCGCCTTGTAGTACTTATTCAGCAAGGTTAGCTCAACTGACAATTGCTGCAGATCGCCCTGTATGTTGGCCTCCGTCTGCTGCAGGTGCTCCGTGGTCTGGCGCACTGCTGCATGTATTGAAAAGAAATGCAAACATGTTTTGTGAAAAGAATTTTTAAGGATCTTAAAAGCTTAAAAGCTATATGCCAAGTTTAATTGACATCCTTGAGGTTATTCCAAATCAATTCAGATAGAACGGGGAAACGAGAAAATGTAATGATAATGAAGACTATTAAAATGAGTGAGAAATATTAGATTAAGAACTATTGAAAATTAAAAAAAAAATGTTTTAGTGAGGATTGAAATGAGAACTTTGAAGATAAATATGAATGAGACATGGATTGGATATGAAAGAGCTAACAATCGAAAGTATCCCTTAAAAGTGGATTGAATTTTCATCAGAATATAAAAGATTACTAACAAACCAAAGAATTTCTCAAAAGTTCATGGAATATGATAGTTCGCAAGCCAAAGTATCTCTTAAAAGTGGATCGGATATGAAAGATTACTAACAATCCAAGGTATTGCTTAGGTCCAGTTGGAGACCTTTCAGTATATATGTAAATCTTTCTTTTAAACATATTGCTCGTATCGCTTCTTATTATTGCAATAGCTAAGTCCAAGAACTCTTTCACCCACCTGTTTGCTGGGCTGTCAGCGATTCGCTCTTGAGTGCCGCCAGAGCGTTGAGCGTCTCATTATTCAGTTCCTGGATATAGGCTCGATCCTTCTCGCTGAGACCCAATGGAGCAGGTGCCGCCGGAGCCGGAGCACTGCGCAGCTGCGCCACATCGGTGCTCAGAGCGCCCAGGCGTTCCATTAGCTGCAGCTCAAACTCATCGTTCTTGGGCGGAGCCGCGGTGGTAACTACGGCAGCCGCGGCGAGGGCGGCGCTGTGCTGCTGCAGCTTGGCCTCGATCTGGGTCAACAGCTCGTCGGACTTGGGCATGCGCTCGAAGCCCTGCTGGGTCTGCTGGGCTGCCTGGCTGCTGCTGTCCAGCAGCTTGCTTACGCTGGCCGACAGCTGCTTAAGCTGGTCGAGCAGCTGCTTATTGATCTGCTGCTGCTCCTCGACAAATTGATTGGGCAGTGCTGGTGCGGCGATTGCCTTGGGGCTGCCTGGCGGATTCTTGAAGCACTCGTTATTCTCCCGCATCCACTTGAACATGTGCTCGATGGCCTGACTGAACTTGTCCGTTTGGGCATTGTACTTCTCCTCTTGCTGCATTGCGGAGCATATTTGTAGCCCATCCGTTGAGATTCGTTTGCTGTACTTACCGTGATCAGCATTGTTTCAATCTGACTGACGCGTTCGTCCAGTCGCCCGAAAATGCCATTGATCGGCTCCAGATTCTTCTGGCCCTTTTGCAGGGACTGCATCGCCTTCTTCAGCAGCTCGCCCAGGGCACGCTCCCGATGCTCGTGCCGCTCCAGCTTGTTATCCAGCTGATTGTACGAGTAAATAAGCGATTTTATAGTACCGCTTAGGTCTTCATTGCTAAAAAAATGCATTGCATTAAAAATAATATTCAAGCTCTTAAAATTCGCTCACTTTCTAATAGAAACTTTCTATTCCTTTAGCCTGTTCTTAAGTTCTAAGTTCCTGAGTTAATCTTCTTTACAAAATATTTTTATTCAAAAACAAATATAGCAATATTTAAATGTTACTTTTTTTAATTGTTATAAATATCAAAGAACTTTTTTAGATTTTTATAATAATAATAAAAAATAATTTTAAAATAACTTGGCAACAAAATACGATCGAGTTCTGGAGTACTTCTCTTTTTGCTATGAGAAAATTTTTAAAATTCCAATAAATTAAAAGCAATTCCGTTAACGTTAATCTTAATAGTTTTGTTAATAATTTTGCTTTTTATCGGTAGCTCTTCTCTTTATGCAAAGTACATAAATGCAATCTAGTTGAAGAACAAATTTCCTTCGTCAATCATTAGGGGCTGGGCATGTGACTGAGAACCAACACCGGCCCCTTCTGGCATGGCAATCGACAGCTGTAAATGTTGATGGGCCAGCGGCTCATCATAAATGACTTGCAGAGATCGTGATCAATTCTCGTAAACATGCACTCGCGCCCACCCTGCCAGCTAATATTCGACGACTCTGTCGAGCCATGCCCCAGTCTCAGGGTCAGAAACCCTTTTAGATGCGATGCAGTGCATGTGTGTGTTTGTGTTTGTGTGAAATGCATAGATGCTGATAGATATGCAGAGCAGCAAGTTCTAAGTGCCGAGCCATGCGCCCCGGCTAGGCAACATATGTATGCTGGCTGTGCACTAAGTTTTCCCCCGTTTCCATTACGGTTTCCACAGCCCGCGGGCCATTTGGATGAAGTGTGTGCATGCTCCGGGCCAAAAATAAACAAACAAACAGGCGGAACAGACAGACCAACATCTCTGTTTCTTTGAAGGCAATAGTCATTAGTTTTGGCAGCCGACTGGGGACTAGCCGGCTGCTGGGATGAAGGCGTTGCCCTGTGCCAGCATATGGTGTAAAGTGGCCGGTGGGCGGAGGGCGAAGGGCGGAGAGGCGAATTCGGAATTAGGAACTGGGTGTTGCATGAGAGGGCAAGGGGGGGGGGGGGGGGGGGGTCGTGGTCATCCTGGCGCCGCACTTGATAACATGCACATTTCGCACAAATACATTTTTAGTGCATTATATTTCACAGCCGAATGGAAAATCCAAAAGCAAAGTGCGAAAGACTGTTTGACACATGTCCATCTGTTTTGGTTTTCTATTCATAAATAATGCTGACAGATGTGGACTTCAGAAATAGCTAAAGTATTTGGATATTTCCCTAATATTCCACTCTGAAAACTTTTCCTTTGTGTTTCTCACTAATAATTGTTTTGAATAAATATTATGGATATTCATTGTGGATAATAATATATTACTTAAATTTGTTAAATAGCATGGAAGTGTTAAGCAAATAACATTAAGTATATATATTTTTAGGGAACACATATCTTACACATCTTAACATATAAATATACTCAATCTTTCTTTCTTACGAATCTCAATTGGTATTTAGTTTAAAATAAGTATTGTTCTATGTGCCCTGACAAAAAGTATGGACCTACAAATTTTGATAGTTTCACTTTGAAATGAACTGCAAATCTATACCAATTTGTATTCCCTTGTAAGGGGTATTCTAATTTTGTCATGAAATGTGTAACGCATCGAAGAAGACCTCTCCGACTCCATTAACTATATATATTCAAGATCAGCATCAACAGCAGAGTTGATATGGCAAACCTTCTCTTATGTTAATATAACTTGACACAACTTGGAATTTATAAGGTTTATTATGAACATCGGACAACTGTATCACATAGCTGCTATAGGAAAGATCGGTGGAATAGTAGGATCTTATAAGGCAAAATAATATGATTTCAAAGAATTTCAACAAACGCAGCACCAAGCTCACATGTCTGCAAAAGGGTATTACGTCTTCGGAGATATCCTAACTTTCTTGATTCTAGTATATAGTTAATATTTTGGCATATCCAAAGTGTCTACAAAGCAGATCAATTCGTGATCTTTGGAGATTCTGGACTTACGTGACTGGCGATGCCTCGACATTGGTCTGCCCAAGCAGGCACAGGCCCAGGCCAATTAGAGCTGCAAAAACGAAGGCAATTGATGGATGCGTTGCTGCAGTTGCCATTTTGGTGCGTGTCTGCTGATCTCCAATTAGTCCAAATTAAGTTGAGCTGCGTGATCTGCGCTGTCGAATGAGGATATTGAATATGGAAATTGTAAATTGTAAATTGAAAATTGAAAATAAATTGCAATGGCGCCGCACAAATTTGTCGATTAATAATGAAATTCAAGTTGGCAAACGGTTTGTTTAAAATTGCACCGACAATTGTTTATAACAAATACGGTAGCCATAAACTTTGGCATATTTATGGCAACTGCAGTTTAAACAATTCGGTGCCCGCTGATGAAAGCCATTTTATTATTATACTTAGAACAATGCAACGCCAATTAATTCCTTGTTGCGATGCCAATTTTGAGCTCATTGTTTTTGTGAATATCTGGAGCTCTGCCTCTGCATATAGGCAGATATAGAGCGCTATAAAATCGCCAACGGCAATAAACAATATGACGCAGATCTTCCATTCTGCGTGCGCCAGTTTTCGGTTTGATGCAATTTGTGGACGGTTGCAAAATACAGGGCGATAATTGGGTCAGAAATAAGCAAGGGAAATACTTTTTAATGAGCACAAGCTGGACATTGTAAATAAAATGTGTTCAATTACTATTATTATTAATATATTTCATTAATTAATAACATGTGAATTAATAGCATGTCCTTATCGCAGAATGGAATTGGGTTAAAGGTTGATAAATTGTGAATGCTAAGATAGAAGTATATTATAGAATCGAGTACACATGCACATGTGTTGGGCAAATGTTATTGAATTAAACATGAAAATTTACAAATACATGCATTATACAAAAAAATCTCTTATAACTACACACTTGTATTATTCTCAAAGTATAGATTATAGAGTAGCTGAGCAGCTCTCCTCAAACCTCAAACACTGACTTGCTTCCGAAACCGAGTGCTGCACTGCCGGGCACTGTAACCAGAAATTATTACTATCACTTTTACTATTGATAGAGCAGACGACGTCCTCACTGCACGAGCAGCACACAATGAATGAGAACAAGATGCTGGCGCCTGGTACTTAACGTTCAGCCTGATAATGATGTTGCTCTGTGCTGATGCTGGTTAGAGAGAGAGAGGGAGCGCGTGCAGATCGTGCTCAAATGTTTCTAATTAAATGTAATTAAAAGAGCAGAGAAACAGTGAAGAGCATAAAGTCCGTCGCATTTATAGCTTCCCGCATCCTCATCCGCGTCTGACTGCCGGCGTATTGTAAAAAGCGCAATTGAATCAAAATTCAATTTGTTCTAATACAAAACTATTCAATGCACATTAATTATGGGGATGATTAATTAACTTCAACATTGGGGCAGCGGCAAAATTCAAGCCAATCAAATTCTAATAAATATGCATTCAATATATTTATAAGCCAGCTGGCTTATAAAATGCATTTCTGTTTATTACATTTTAACGACAGTTTTATTGATATTCAAATTATTTTTGGCGCCATTTGCTTGCACGTTGTCTGCACTGCGAGTGAATGGCATTTATATCGATAATTCTTAACATTGCGATAGTCTTAAGTGCGTTTGAGCACAACAGAGGAATGTTAAATTTAGTCACTCTCAAGAAAAAGACAACAATACATAAATAAATAACCATAATGTAAATAATAAAATATAATTAATTAAATTTCATTCAACGGTTATTAAACGGCAGTTTCCCTGTACTTTTCGATATTTAGAACTAAACGATAGCTTAACTATCGGCTTTCGATTAATGCGGGGTATCAGCTGTTGCCGGCGTTTGTTTATATTCCCAATCACAACAATTTTGTTGCTCATATTGCTAAAGTTGGAAAAATGCCAACAATAATTGCTCTGGATGTATCGCTATCGATGCTGCGTCCTGTGCCGGGGCGCAATGACCACACATACCAATCGCTGGCCCTCAAGGGCATTCAACTGCTGCTGGACAACTTGACGGCCGCTGGCAAGCTCGAGCATTTGGCTTTGGTATTGTACACCACAGTCTGTGAACTGAAAGTGGATTTTACACGGGACTACGATCAAATACGGCAGGCGATCAAGAAAATCGAGCCCGTGGACAAGGCCTGCCTGATGACCATGCTGAAAACCTCAGTCAGCCTAATGGCCACATGGGGCACACAGAATCTTCTACAGCTGGTGGTGTTTACGGACTGCGGTGCGGGCTTTGGCAGCACCTCGATTGCTGGCTTCCTGGAGGCATATGCAGGCAAGGAGGCTGAGCCCGAATACGCGTGGCTAAAGGCGCTGGCCACCTACAATCTGAACTTCATTTGTCTTGGCGTGCATTGCGATTTATATTTCACACGTGGCCTGACACTGCATCAACAGCTGCTCGACGCTGCCTCGCTCAAGGGTCAGCTCTTCATGACGAAGCCAGTGAAGAGCGCCGAGCCCGGCGACGCCGCATCTGCTGGCAGCCATAAAAGCGAACTGGGTCGCACCGCCCTGTTCGAGCTAATCGAGCGCCTGTGCGAGAGCAGCTACAAATCCACGGAGGTGACGCTGAAGTGCGGCCGCTACTTTCGCATGGAAGGCCAGGTGCTGCTCTGGCCGCCACCGGTGCCCTATGAGCAGGCCGCACTCTACGGCGGCGATCCCACAATACGTCACATTGATCAGCGCATTGATGTCTGCGGCTTCCTGGCGCTATCCGATATCGGCTCGCCGGCCACGCTGAGCCGCCACTGGGTGCTGGCCAAGGTGGAGCGTGAGAAGCCGACTCGTCGCTCTGGCGGCCTGGCAGCAGTTGCCAAGCCTCCCAAGCTGACGCTGGACACCAGCAACCCGCACTACGAGCTGGAGAAGCTGGAGCAAGATATACGCGACTTCTACATGAAGGATACCAAGGATGCCGAGGAAAGCGGCGACGATGCCGATGTTACTGTGGTGCTCAAGCACAGCTCCACGCCCCAAGCGGAGCAGCAAAAGGACAATCTGTGCGTGCTGCTGCATGGCGCACTTAAGCTGGAGAACATGGCCGCACTGGTGCTGCTGGGCGAGAAGTGGTATGGCTTTATGTATGCCTACACCGATGTCAAGAAGAAATCCAATTTTATGCTTAACATACTGCCGCCGGGCTCCAATGTTATACCCTGGCTGGGCGACCTAGAGTTGCTTGGCTTTCCCGAGGATCTGGCACCTGGTGAAACAGCCAGCTTTCCGGTTCGCGCCGAGCGACGCTCATATTCACAAAGCAGCGTCGTCTGGATACGGCAGGCTAGCCTCCAGTCCGACGTCCAGAAAGTGCTGCGTCACGCAAAGAAAATGCCCGACAAGACGCAGCATTTCTACAAGGAACTCAATCGCATTCGACGCGCCGCTCTGGCCCTGGGCTTTGTGGAGCTGCTCGAGGCGTTGGCCTTGCTGCTCGAGAAGGAGACCGCACAGCTCACCTTGAATGGCGTCACCACCGAGTGCACGCTCCAGCTGCAACATGCGGCCACCGAGCTGCGCAAGACCTCGAACCGTGACATCAAGTCAACAATTGTGCCGCTTCAGAAGGCAAGCGCTGCCGATGCCACAGCGGCTGCTGCGCCAGCACAAGGCGGTTATTTGTACTAGAATATATGCTACTTTTAATGCTTTTAATTATTGATTAAATTAGTTATCAAATGACATGCATATAAAATTGCAAATTGTCAAAAGAGTTGTTCGTTTGAGCTTTTCCATGAAATATGTAATCGAGTTGTAATCAGCTCGTAATTCTATATCTAATAAAAATACGTTCTTAATTTATGTGCATGCTATGCTTTTTTAAAAACTAATTTGAATAAAGTAACGGCCGATTTGTGCATTGGCTAAGTCGTTTTACAGCACTGACGCGGCAGCACACTTATCGTTATTGACTTATCGTTATCGACCTATCGAACATTGTTATTTATTTACGTTTCTTTTCTGCAGCAGCAACAATGGGTGGCCCAGAATTACCAACAGATCCTGGAGAGGAGCATGATTTCCAAGCGCCGGCAATCGAGCATCCCCATGTTGGAGAACAAAGCGATGACAGTGCCGAGTCGGATGCCTATGACGGTTACCAGCCGCTTGCCACAGACGCTGAGGAGGCGGGCGCAGTTAACAATGACATAGTCACAGCTGCAGAGTCGAATGGTCGGGAGGAAGCCGATGAGGACATCGATTTGATGACAGCTGAAGTGACACACGGCGATCCGAATATGCCAACAATCGAAAGCATCGATGCGGAAATTGAACGCCAAGTGTGGAACGAACCACGGCCGCAGGAGCTGCAAATGGAGCTGGATAAAACGCGCACGGAGCAGGTGAGTGTGTGGCAATGGCCAGAAAATTGGATGTGGATTAGCATAACAATTGATTCCCATAGATACTCAAGGCCATGTCGAAAATAACATTGCCCAATGTGACGGTGCCCGACTGGGCCAAGGGTGTGCCCGAGGAGCGCTGGAAGCATGAGCTGCTGGAGCGCATACAAACACGCAAAGCGGCGCCGTCAACCGTGGAAGCTGCTGGACAGCTGCCCAAGCCGTCAGTTGATTAATACGCGTATATCTATATACATGAATCTAGGCTAAGCAAAAGGTATTTATTGTATTAGACCCTCAAAACGACACACTCCAATATATAAAATTTAAAAATAAATGCGTGCAACGCCAGATCTTAAAATACGGCAAGTAACGCCTGTCCAACCAAATTGACTTTGGTGAAGTTTTCGTCCTGCGGTGTATTTGTCAGCTCACGCAACTTATCCATCACATAATCAACGGAGACAACCTGGGCAATGGTCTCCTGGGCGCATTGCGTGGTTGTCAGATTACCAATGGCCTGCATGGAGCGATACCAGGCCTCCAAGTCCTTGGCCCATTTGAGCAGTTCCACAATGCCCGAGGTGGTCACATGACACACATCTGGCCGGGCTGCGCCCAACGTCTGCGAAATGGTCAGATTCAGATAAAACGTGGCAATCGCTATTTGCAAATTAGGGCTGCCCGCACGTATGCAGCTAACCAGCTCAATGATTTGCGGCAGTTGGGCTTCAATCTGCTGGCGTCCCACTGTGTGAGTCAAGGCGTTGGCTAGGCAGCGGCAGACCATTAGCTGATTGGCCGCCGTACCGTCCAGGTGTGGCAGCACGCCGTTCAAAAAGTTGTGGCTATTGTGCAGCAGACTGAAAACGGCCTCGTGACGCACTGCTAGGCGCAGTATGTCGAGCACCGGGAAAAGCATGCCAGCTGGCCATTTGAGCAGCATCATCAATGCCTCCAAGGCTGTCGGCTCCAGTTCCGGCGACTTGTCCGTCAGCCTTATGACGGCGAGCAAGACTTCGTCGCCCACTTTACCCTCTGCGCTGGTTAGTTTATTGTTGAACTCCCTGAAGAAGAGGCATATTTTCATTTATAGACGACAATTGGCTGGCATAGCTTACTTCATCTTCTCCAACACCTTGTTGGCATCGCATGTGTCGAAGGTGCGATAGCTGCTGACAGGGAAGTGTTTATCGCTGCCACGCACAAAATTTACATCGACGCTAGACTGTGTATTGCTGTTGGCAGTGGAGTAGCTGGAGGCGCCAGTAAAGGGATCCATATTGCCGCTGCCCCGGACGCTGCTGTTGCTGGAGCCGGGTACGTAGCGTGAGCCGCCAGTGAAAGGATCCTGATACCCACTGCAACAGGAATTTAAATATCAAATAGATGAAACCCCAAAAAAAAAATCTATACAGACGTTGTCGTTTGCGTCACCACGGCGGGCGCGTTTTCCGAATTCTTCACAATGAAATTGGCCACTTGATCCAGATATGCCTGGGGCAGGTTATTGCGGTGTATGAACTGTTGAGCGGCTTGCCAGGGATCTTCGCCGCGATTGTAGGGCAACTTGATGGGTGGCTCCGTATCGGATATGTCTACATTGAACACATAATCGTACTCCTTGCCCTCATGCAGTTTCTTGCCGGAGTTGGCCTGTGTGCCGCCCGTGGCACCAGTCACGTCGCCCACCAGGCTCCATTTACCCAGCTCCCACACGTAACACTTGACCGAGCCATCCACATGGCGCACCATTTTCGTCTGACCCTCGCGAGTGCCATTGGTTAACAAACCCTCCGGTCCGGCCAAGCTGGGAAAGTAGCATGCAATTAGAGTTGAGATGAAATGTTTGCTGGACAGGACTTACTCTGTCTTCTTGACACCGCCGATTTCCTCACTAAGCTGCGACTTGTGCGTGGCCACGGCTAAATCAAAGGCACGTCTGAGACTCTCGGCAGCCTGGCGAGTCGGTTCCTGGCTGAAAACGCGCACAACGCCATCACTGCAGCCGGTGACAATGTCGCCGTTTTGCAGACAAGCAACCGACCACACTGAAATGGCCGGATGCAGAATAGGGGCACCCAGCTCGTCGCCTGTGATCACATTCCACATGCGGAGCGTGCTGTCCTCACCGCACGAGACGACAATGTGCTCGCCCAGCGCCTGATTGCGTGCCAGAGCATATATATAGTTGGTATGGCCGCTCAGCTCGCGCACGCACTCGCCGTCCTCGTTCCAGAAGCGCAGCACAGCATCGTTGCCGCAGGAGAGCAGAGAATTGGCGGGCAGCGGAACGAGTCCACGCACGCAATCTGTGTGACCTTTGAGCAGCCGCAGCTTTTCGCCTTGCGCATTCCAGTAGTAGATGCACTTGTCGGCGCCGCCCGTAACATATTTCTGCTGTGTGGCCATCGTTGCCACGGCCCAAACGGCCGCCTCGTGGCCCTGCAGCGTCACAAATGTGACATCGCCCGTTTCACTGATGGTCCACACGCGCGCTGTCTTGTCCCAGCTGCCGCTGATGAGACTGCGCGACTTGAGGCCCGCGGCCAGAGTGCAGACAGTCGATTCGTGACCTTTAAGCGTGATTAGTGGCACAAAGCCCTCTTGCCGGTATATGCAAATGGTCGCATCGTTGCTGGCAGTGCAGATCCACTGCTCCGACTCCAGATAATAGATGTAGGATATGAAGTTTTTGTGGTCCTGCAGCGTGACGCTCTCAATGTACTCGTTGCTTAAATATCAAAACAACATGAAGGACAATTAAACCGCCAAACTATAGAAGGTAATTTTTTTTTTGTCTTGGTACGCACCCGATTGGTTTCCAGAGTTTTGTGCTTTTGTCGCGTGAGCCGGACAAAATTAATTGGCCGCCGCCTGGTGCGTTGCCACCAGCAGCCACTGCGCGCACATCCAGGCTGTGGCCCAGTAGCTCGCAGCTAATCTTGTAATTATCCAGCGTCGGCTCCATTTTGCAGTCCCTGACTTTGCTAATTTTCGTCGGCTTTTTTGGCGAATAGTATTTTTAGTAGAGGTGGGAGTAACTGAATATCGATAACATTTCACATTGCTTAACACTCAAATTATCGTTTAAGCATAGTAAGCAGAGCAGAGATAACAGCCCAGGATATGTACGATATATATTAAATGTAAATAAATTGATTTAATTTAACTTGTATGCGTTGCAAATTAACACATTGGTTAATTCTATGGTATACGTTTATTTTGCAATAACAGAAAAATCGCTTTATTTAACATCAGGTACGGTGTTTTCACAGTCTAATTGAATTGTTATGGCCTGCTGATCAGCATACTATGCCTTTTACACTTACGTCCTCTTTATTAAATAAGCCACAGTTTTACATTGCGCAAATTACGCTTGTAAACATAAAAACAAAAGGCGAATTTTAAAGTTTTAATACGAACGCTTGTTAGACATGCAGGCAGCAGGCGCAGGTATTCGTGTGCCGCTAAAGCTCTTCGCATTGCTGCCGCGGCTCTCGCAGTCCAGCCGCAATTTCACTGATGCCGCAACAGCCGCAACAGAGGAGCCAGAAAAGGCGCCGCCACCACCGTCTCCGCCGTCGGCGACAAGTTCCATGAAGATGAGAGGCTGGCAGCTGCACAGCTACGGCGGCATCGACGAGCTGCAGCTGTCCGACAAACTCAAGTGGCCGCAAATCCGCAGCTCCGACGAATGCCTGGTGCGGGTGCGCGCCACGGCGGTGAATCCCATCGATATAGCCATGTTGGGCGGCTACGGGTCCACGCTGCTTAACCAGTTGCGTTGTCAGGCCAACGATCACATAGAGTTCCCCTTGACGCTGGGCCGTGAGTTCTGCGGCGAACTGGTCCAGAAGGGCATGGGTGTCTGCGACAAGCAGCTGCCGCTGGGCACACGGGTGTGGGGCGTGGTGCCCATACCAAATCCGAATGGCGCACATGCCGAGTACGTTGTGGTGCCCTCGTCCTGTGTAAGTCCGCAGCGCTTTTATGAGTAACTAAATTTGATTATGTATTGCATTTTTTTAGCTGGCGCCGGCACCAAAGGAACTGGACGACGGCGAGGCGACCAGTGTACTCTATGCGGGTCTGACCGCCTGGTCGGGCTTGTACCTAACTGGCGGCTTGGGCGGTCCATGCGGCGCCACCACCTCCGAGGGCGGTGGTGCAAATAAGCGCGTTCTGGTGCTCGGCGGATCGGGCAGCGTCGGCTCATTGGCCATACAGATATTGAAATCACAGCGCGCCCAGGTGCTCGCCACCTGCAGCGAAGATGCCGTGGAAATGGTGCGCTGTCTGGCCGACTACGTGGTCGACTATACGAAGCCCGATGCCAACGAGCAGCTGTGCACCTATGCGCCCTACGACATTGTCCTGGACTGCGCCGGGCAGGGCGGACAGCATGCCTCCGACTTGCCGTACGACTTTCGGCAGTATATCACATTCAACTCGCCGCTGCTGGCAAATATTGACAAAAGCGGCCTGTGCCTGGGTTCGCTCCAGAACTTCTCCGACTTGGTGCAGACAAATGTGCGCGCTGTCAGTCAGCGCGGGGGATTGGTCAAGTGGGGCTATTTCTATCCGGCGGCGCATGGCATTGAGTTCCTGCAGCGTCTGGTCGAGCGTCGAAAGGTTAGTTCGCGGATATTACTAGCTAAATCAAAGGCTAATCCTCTTTATATTTCTAGCTAATACCGCTTATTGACAGCAGCTTTGACTTCAACGACATGCCAAAGGCTTTTGAGCGCTTAAAGTGCGGCCATATGCGTGGTAAAATTGTGGTTAAGGTTTAAGACTAAATGTTAATCTTGTTACGGGTGATATTTAACTTGTTTGCTAATAAAAAAGAAAACTTGTCTGAAAAAATCATCAAAATATTTATTTGAATTATCTTTGCTCCACCGTTTCGCAACAGTTGCACTAAAATCTATCGATAAATGAGCAATCGACAGTCGGGCAGTTTATCGGCCGGCCTACACAGCCTATTGGCTAGTTTTGTAGTTTCGTGCATAAAGTACTTAAAAAATGTGAATTTAACCATTAATAAGTGGATAAATAAGTTAAAATATCTAAAATATAGTGCAATGCTACACTTATAGCATTGTGACCGTCAATTAATATCAGCAAACATTGGTAAATGGCCAAAAGTTATTATTTATTTTCATTAAAGCGCTGTGTTTTTGTTTGTTGCTCCACGTTGTCGCGCTTGTGTCGGCTAGAATTGTTAAGACGTCAATAACGTTTGGTCGAACCGAAATACCAGTAAATAATAAATTAAACCAAAATTTTACATGTTTCTTAACAATTATGAATTATAAATAAACCAATACATATGCACCGCCGGCAAAAACAGAGAACGCGCGTTTATTGAGCAAGCTACGAGAGCGCCAAGAGAGCGCACATCAGTCGGGAATAGAGTTGTCAGCTGTTGAAAGCGGCATCTTGGTACCATTCAAACAACTGCAAAATATAAAATCGATGATTATCTTTTATTGCTTAAATAGGAATACCAATTATTTTTTTAATTGTACATCAACTCGAAGTGATAAATTATTTTTTTCAAATAATAAGAAGAATAATTTCTGACCTTATAATGTACCAAAGCACAAGCAATGCGCACACTCGCCCGCCCATCAAAAGAACGGAACTCTGGTACTGAAACGGCGGCACATTTGCTCAGGCAAAACCCGAAGGCTTACAAAGCCTAAGAGAGCGCAGGAGAGAAACAATAACAAAAATGTTGTGAAACATGCTTATCAACATGCGCAAAGTGTGGCAACATGTGCCTCAACATTATTAGCCATTGTGTTTGTTGGACTTGTGTGTATGTTCCTAAACATATTTTGTCGACAACAAGGAGGGTCGCCCAATTTGGCAAATCTGCTCTCTCGCTTGCGTAGCAGCATGTGTCTCAACATGTATCTGCTGTAGCATGTGTGCTGCACTCGGTGCCGTTGTACTTTGCAACTGAAACTCCGGCTGAGTTGTTGTTACGTCGTCGAGAGAGTCGCGTGTTCATGTGTCGCGTTCGCGTTCTGATGTCTGTTGTTGCCACGGGCTTTGTCTGGTCGCAATGCAGCAGCAGCAGCAGTTCTGACTGACTGACTGACAACAGATAAACAAATCGGTGCCGCGAACTGTGTCTGAAAAGTGCGTGTCATTTAAACGGTAAATGGTAGTCCCGTTAATCAATTGCTTTAGTTAAAGCGGCATGTTGTTTCTTTTGTGCATGCGTGTGTGTGTGCGTGTGTGTTTGTTTGTGTGTTGCTAAACAATAATAATAAAGCAATAAATTGGCACACGAGCTTCCGTAAATTATCTTAAATTCAAATTGAGCAAACAAAAAAAAAATACATAATACATTACATTAAAGACGGCGAAAAAATTAAAGCAGAGACCGCAGAACACAAAAGCGGCACAAACAAAAAATGGAAACATTTTTTGGATAACTTTTCCAGATATTTTTCATTGATTTTTCTACTGGCGCGCCACACACACCTCCTGCTGCCACCACATATATAGAGAGAGAGAAACAGCGAAGGGGAAAGAGAGAAAGAGCGAGAGAGCGTTGCCATGCCGCCTGGTGTTTTGTGCACAGTTTGGCATTGGAACACTTTGTGGTACTATGTGCGTGTGTGTGCGGATTATCCTTTTTTATATATTTTGTTTATTTTCAAGTGCCTGTTTCCATTTTGTTGCGCACATTTTGTGCTGTCCATTCGTTTCGCTGCATTCCATTCTCGCAGCGTTTCAACACAATAAGCATGTGTGTGTTTGTGAGCGTGTGTGAGTGCTGGCAGCTGCCCTATGTAAATTTCTCTCTCGATGCTTGCTCTTGCTGCCGTTTTACCCCCCTCGGTGGCAGTGCCTCATGTTTTTAACTCTGCTTTGCTATACCATTCGCATCGTAGCTGGCGCCGCTGTTGACGCTGGCGCCGCGCTCTCTCTCTCTCACTCTCTGTCTCTCTCTTTCTCTCTCTCACTCTTGGCTTCATTCTTCGCACATCTTTCGCCTGGCGCTGGCTGCAGTCGTTGTCCTTTGGCCGTGCATTGCGCGTTGCCAACCAATTTGCCGTGTGTGTTGTCATTGTCATAATAAGAAAATTCCTGCTGTGCCTGCGGTCTCTGCAATTGTTTATGCGTCATTTAATCGAATATGTGAAATATTTTATATCATTTTTCCAGTGTCCTGCGGCCACTAAGGCTAATTAAAAACGGAGCTATCAACAACAACAATACAAATTTCAAAGGAACCAATCATCATGAGGCTTTTGAATTGACAAAATTAAAGTGTTGCATACTTTTCGCGTCGCGTGTTAGTTATTTATATTTCGGTTCGTCTACCCTGCGCGTCTCCTAACCGTTAATCAATCTATCTCCACCTATCTCTATCTGTGTGTGTGTGTTCGTGTGTGCTTGTGTATATTTTATACTGCTCTGTACATATGTACAATATTTGTCGTCATCATCACCATCATCATCGTTGTTGTTGTTGTTGTTATTTACTCGGCATTCGTATAAAGTAAAAATATAAATAATTTGTGTTCTTCGGTGTTGTCTCGTGTAAGTGTCTATAATTTGTTTAACTACGACAAGCGATCTGCAAGAAGCAAGACCAAAAGCAAAAGCGAAAGCGAAAGCAAAAGCAATCATAACATTTATCGATATACAATTTCGATATGGCAAATGATCAATTCTGTGCGCAACGATTCGAATGTCAACTGTCTAAGCAATCGTATAGTCAACAACAGCAACAACTACAAGAGAAGCAACAACTGCAGCAGGCCCAACAACAAGAAGAAGAGAAAGCTAGTAACGCCTAGCAGCTGAAAATTCTCCATTGACGATTCCCTTTCAAAACCCAATTGGGAATTTCATTTGATTAAAAAGTTCACACCATTGTTGGACACTCAAAAAGGTAAGATCCCAATTCGGTTATATTATCATTTTTAAAAATATTATATTACGTCATAAATAATTTCATTATGATTATGAAAATCAGTTAAATCTTGTTCATCTAGACAATTTTAAATTAGATTTAAATTGAATATAATTGGAAATAATGAATTGTCCAGATCACCAAAAAAAAAACTCTCTCGGGCGTTCGTCCTGCTAGACGATATTAGTAGAGTTTGTACTGAAAAGGAAAAGCTTTGAGTGTTCGATAACAATATATCGATAACAATATATCGATAATATTAGTATCAGTAATACTCCAATTACACTCTGCGTTGTACTTAATTCTACTTATTTTTTGAGCTTAAAATTCAAAATTGTTTTTATACACTCCCTATATACATTCTTATAAAATGATTTGAAATCTGTTAATTATACTTTGAACTTTGAACTATCATGATTTCTGACATACGTTTCGATTTGTTAAATAACATAAAATGTGTTTATGTTAAAATATTGTCTAGCTGGAAAAAAGAATTCCTACGCTTATAAACATACTGATGATTTTTCAGTGTAAGATGTAGAAACCTACTCTTCTTAAATCTCTATTTTTCCCTTGTATATTTCTGCTTAAGCATTAATTGTTTTGGTAGCTAATAAACCAATTGAATTATAGCTACAACAGAAATACATATGTGCATTGATAAAAACGTATACAAATGACATGACCGGCTTAAGTGCATTAAAAGATTAAAATCATGACAAAAAATGTTTGTCAAGCGCAAAGCATTCGACGTGCATGCAAGATACTCATTTCGTATGCATTTGCATAGAGAAGCGCTCAACTGTGAAAGCAGTTAACTAATTAAGACATAAAGACAATCAAAATCAAATGCATAAAAGATAAGAAACCGAAAGCAGCCAGAAAGGCATCAGGTCGTTCAATCTGATGATTGGAATCGATGGGATGAGTTACACTGCCGATAAAAAAATATGCTTAATTCATGTTGTTTTCGTCTGTCAGCGCCTACTCACACACTCACACACACACACATACACACACACACACTTCATGAACAGCAAAAGATACAGATACGAAGTTCAACTCTCAGATCGGCGACTGAAACTGTGTGCGGTTTTCAGTTTTATCTGCATCTTTTAATGACTTCGCAGGCGGCGTTTCCTTTTGTTTGTGTCCGAAATGTGCGGGCAGCATGTTTTGTTTTTGTTTACATTTCAAATGGGAAACGTTCTGCCCGATACCAGATGTGTGTCCACCAGATACGACTCGCTCGTTCGATGTTGTTGTTGTTGTTGTTGTTGTTGTTGTTGTGGGGGCCAGTAAGTTGAAAAAATTAAACTTTTAATATTAAGTCGTATATAACCAGCAACTAAAGTAGAGTATTATCTCTCGAGGTGGTCAGCGTAATGTCATCTCGCTCCCACGCCTCGGCGGTTGTGTTAGTTGCATCTCCTCGCGTCAGTTTCGCACCTTATACATAAAGCGACAAGAAACGGCATCAAAGAATAAGACAAGCAATCACGCCATAGTTCCGTTAAATATCACAAGCGACAAATGTAGCTGGCGTGGCGTATCAGTTGCATAGCCAAAGTGAGTTATCCACGCGGTCACCTCGTTCACTTCGTCTTCAGCTGTGAAAACGAACAGACGCAACGGAGTCATAACGTCTGCTCATTTTTCTAATTAACATTGCTAAGATCACACGTGTTAAACTTTTTCGGTTATAATCAAAATTGAAGACAAACGTATTTGGTTAAGAAGTATTCGCGAACGCGACATAGTGTTGGAACAGGGAGCGTTAGCAGCGCCCGACAAGCCCAGATATCGGCCGGTCTGCGTACGGCGCCCCCGCGCTCTAAACATTAAACATAATTCGGCGACCGGCCGAAAGAGCCCCATAATCAATCACCGCCCCTATTTCGGCGATTATTCGGCGAATTAGTTAAGCTCCAGTTCACACCGGCTGAGGCGCAGTTGGCTCAACTTAAAGTTTACACCGGTTCTTTTCATCGCTATATATTTGTCTAACGCTTAAAACGACCGAGTTGTGTCTTGCATACCTTATCTTACTCGGCAGAGTATAGCCACGCTTGATAGCGTGAAGCGTAGGTGTGACACAAAGGAGTGAAGGAGAAGTCTTTATCTGGAAACGAAATAGAGTTAACCGCAATCGAATAGTCTAGCTCGCTCGATGTCTCGCGCGCATGCGTTCTAGTTGAAACAATCCGTCGTCAAGCCGCGTAGGATTATCAGCTGTTTGATGTTGTCTGGAGGCCAGCCAATCTGAGTTTGGATTCTTAGTTCTTAATTACTTTCTTTGCTTTCTTTATTGTTTTTTTTTTAATGTAACCTTAATATACAAATTTCCTGTGAGTACATAGTAGCGTTACCCGTAGCAGCGATTTCCGTTTAAATAATTTTCTTTATGCACAGCTACCAAAAGCTTTAAAGCACCACACCAACTGCACTTTCGATGGGCCCAACGAACCTGCACCGATGGATATAACAGTGAGTGACAAGTCCGAATATAACTTACAGTGAGTACGGCCTATTATTGGCGAACGAATTATTTAATCGGTTTTATCGCACTCGGAATGCTCGTGTATTAACATGAATATATATAATAGTTTAACACCGCCCTGTTACACCTGAGTCTAGGCAAAAGAAAACAAAATACTAAAGAGTAAAGCATTCTTATATGGATCAGATGATTGTTATCTGAAGTTTACTTTAATTAAAATGTACCGATAAATTGTACAGGAAGGTCCGTCGCCGGTACGATCCTACGCTGAAGTCATATTGTTTATGTTGAATTAAATAAAACATTAGTGAAGGGGTAACCACCCAAATTAATCACGAGTTACCAAGGTTGGGAGGGTAAAGAATGGGGAGCGATCAACACCTACCGCACCCTAGCCACTGAAATTCTCACATAACAGTCCGCCGTTCTCATTTTTATTAATTCTGTACGTGAGTACAGCCCGAATACATCTTATTGGACCTTCATCTTATTAGTATACAGTCAGTGCACTTATCCTTTCTGAGCACAAAAGGAGTGATATGTGAAGGGAAGAGGAAAAGACCCACGCCAAATCCGACGAGCATAGTATAGAGCAACGCTAGAAGTGCACACCTTCCGAATCTCTTCACCTCTGCGGAAGAACATCAACCGCACGAAGCTGGTGGCCTCTTGAATAGAGCACAAGATCGCATACATACCCTTCTGCATGCTACAGAAAGTGGCGCCCAACGTGGGGCCCGAACGGCTAGGAGAAATAAGCCCTACATTATAGCTCTCAAATTTCACCCATTTAATAACATATTAAACATTTACTAAATTCCGTAATTTTATGATTTGAAGTTTTCCATATCTGTCTTATGAGACTGTTCTCTGGAGAAGCGATTATAATTCGAGTGCTTACGGATTAGTCGACCGAGTCGAATCATATTTCAGGGATAACTTTTAAGTTATAGAATTCACCCAGTTACCCAGGTTGTAGCGACCCGTTGATATGAATGAATCATCGTCTCTAGGAATAGCGATACCTATTACGAATAGTTCGACCAGAGTGAATAGACTCACATACAACAATACGCATCTCGATTCTGGGGTAACGAATGCGAGATTAGGTCGCGTAATTATGCGGAAAAGCAACTTAAGAATAGTTGACCTGTAAATACAAACCCGACCTCAGCAATTAGAAGTATCAGTAGTTTTCGGTATTGGCGACGTTATGTGAGATTATCCAGTTGGGATAACAATATGACCAGCATGGAGTCGGAAGGTGCGGACCGAATTTATTATTAACAGTTCAGTTTAAAGTTTCAGTTAAAGTTTAAAAAAAAAAAAAAAAAAAAAAAAAAAAAAAAAAAAAAAATATATATATATATATATATATATATGAAAATGGCAGTTCGTCACAGTAGGGAGAACCTGACAGATATATTGAGCGAACAAGATGCAATCTGCAATATTTGCGACCAACCCTTAAGTCAAGCTGATTTAACCGCAGTTTCGCCATGTAAACATAAATTTCATTACCCATGTATTACCGAGTCTTTAAGAGAATCTAACCACTGCCCAACTTGCAAAAGGCTCTGTACATTTAATCAGTTGGCTTTATCAAATAACAACTTGCAAGCTGAATTATCCGCTGCTGACCAGTTAGTCGACATTGCTACGCATGAGGAAGCATCGGAAAACAGCAGTACCGGCAATCGAGGTAGAGGCAGAACAAGCAGAATTAGTAACGCAGTACAGCGCCGCGGTATGGTGACCAGATCCCAACAGCGGAGCCAACTTGCGCCGCTGCCAAACATTTGCGCGAGTGAGGCAAGCGTGTCTCACGAAGCCCCTAAAGCACAAAGTGTGGAAGATATAAACCAAATAATTCAGGCCGCTATGCAGCGTCAACAGCAACAGCTCATGCAGGACCTGACAGCATTGATTCAGGGACAGTTGTCAACACGTCAGGTTGACAGTAATAGTCATCACTCGGGTCGAGAAAGAGTGTTTACTCCACCCGGTGAACCAGTTTTTATAGCAGACCGGAACCAGAATACATCCTCAAGTTCAGGTCATATCAATAACCAATACAATGGCAACGCCAGGAGACCAAACGCTTCGGTTCTGCCAGACAAAGTTCCAAACATTATTCAGAGTTGGCGAATCAAATTCGATGCAGCTAGAGATGGTCTGCAAACGGACGAGTTTCTCTACAGAGTTCGAGCACTAGCTCAACAGAATTTAAACGGGGACTATCAGCTTCTATGCGATCACTTACACCTCTTCTTCGGTGGGAAAGCCGTCGAGTGGTATTGGAGGTTTCATCGCGCTTGCCCTCAGTTTACTTGGGACGAGTTTTGTAGAGAGTTTAGAAAGAAATTTGATGACATTGATACAGATATGGATATCTGGGAGGCAATTAACAGCAGACGTCAAGGCGATAAGGAAACCTTCGAGGAATATCAGTTTCAAGTCGAGAGACTTGTGTCTCGCCTAAAAACCATAATTTCAGAAGAATCGTTAGTACGACTTCTCATCCGTCATTCAAAGCCCCATCTTCGTTACGAGCTAATGCACTTAGGCATAAACACCCTAGCGCGTTTAAGAGAAGCAATTCGCACTCACGAGCAATTTTCCAAACAAGTTAAGCCCCTATCAGTGAAAAATATTTTTCCCCAACGCTCTACTGTCTCCCAGCTCGATAATGGGTCGGACGCCGAAGAACTAGACGAAGTTTCAGCGCTGCAGCACAAGCAAATGAAGTGCTGGAACTGCGCAAAGTCAGGCCATCGGTTCGAGGATTGTCTTGAGGCGCGTATCATCTTTTGTTATGGATGTGGGATGAAGAACACCTATAAGCCAAATTGCCCAACATGTAACCCGTCGGAAAACCGCAGAAGGGATGCGTCAGCCAACAAAAACCTGTCGCATCCGAACCATTAAAAGTAGATTGTAGTACTCAGACCGAAGTCACAAATCCAATTTCATACAGACCATGTAATCCACCATGCCAGATACCTCAAGCTAAACTAGAGATTCACCAACCATACCAAGTTCGAGCAGCTCAGTATGCATCAGCCAGAAAACGCATCTTCGGAGACGTAGACAGTTGCTTATTGATTCGAAAACCCCGACGTTCAACCTTGCGAATGAGGTTTTTCTGGAAAAAGGTAGAAGAGAGCCGTAAAAAGCTTATTTCCGCCGTATTCTTGAATTCAGATAACCGATTGTACACCGATATCAAAATCGACGATAATAGTTATACCGCTCTTTTAGACTCAGGTGCAACTATAAGCTGCATTGGCGGCGTAGCCGCACAAAAGTTCATCAGACATCCACAGCTACAGAAGTGTTCTGGGCAAATCAGAACAGCCAATAATGCCAAATGTTCCGTAGTTGGCAGACTTGTCGTTGAAATAACTTATCGCAACCAAACTAAACCAGTAGAATTCTTTGTAATACCTGACCTAGAACAAAACTGTTACTTGGGAATCGATTTCTGGAGAGATTTTGGTTTACTTAATAGAATCACTGATCTTCCCTCAGAATCGGTGGCAGAACTAGATGTAGGTCGAGATGATAACACAGTAATTAGTGCGAAAATGCATTCTCTCTCAGCAGCTCAGCAGCGCAAGCTCACTTCAGTGATTAGCAAGCTACCCTCTTACGAGAAAGAAGGCTTGGGACGCACACACCTAATAGAGCATAACATCGACGTCGCTGATGCTAAGCCCGTCAAGCAGCGTCATTGGCCAGTTTCCCCTGCCAAAGAAAAACTTATGTTTGCCGAAATTGAAAACATGCTGGCACTAGACGTGATAGAAGAATCGAAGAGTCCATGGAGCAGCAATTGCGTGTTAGTACAGAAGGGAGAGAAAGTTCGTTTGTGCTTAGATTCCAGAGAACTGAACAAGCTGACGCTGAAAGACGCGTACCCGCTGCCACATATAGACGGCATTCTTAGTCGCTTGCCTCCCGCTCGTTTTATCACTGGTCTCGACATGAAGCATGCATTTTGGCAAATCCCGCTTGATAAAAAGTCTAGACTATGCACGGCGTTTACAATACCAAACAGGCCCTTGTACCAATATAAAGTGATGCCTTTCGGACTATGTAATGCCGCGCAGACTCTATGCAGGCTCATGGATCAAGTAATCCCAGCAAGTCTACGAACAAGAGTATTTGTATATTTGGACGATCTCTTGGTTCTTTCCGACGACTTTGTTTCGCACATGAGTCTGTTAGAAGAAATAGGTATATATCTTCGTAAGGCGAACTTGACCATTAATATAGCCAAGTCCAAATTTTGTATGACAGAGATAAAATATTTAGGATTCATTATCGGCCATGGACAGCTCAAAGTCGACCCTGGCAAGGTTAATGCGATCAATGAATTCCCAGTCCCAACCACGGTGAAGCAATTGAGACGGTTCTTAGGTCTCGCCGGATGGTATCGACGGTTTGTAGAAAACTACGCTGCGATAACCTTTCCCTTAACTGAACTTCTGAAAAAGAATAAACCAATGAATTGGAATTCGGAAGCGAAAGAAGCCTTTGAACTATTGAAAAACAAGTTGACATCTGCACCTGTTTTGAGGACGCCTTGTTTTTCGAAACCTTTTATATTATTGTGTGATGCAAGCCTGCATGGTCTTGGCTGTGTGTTGGCCCAAGCAAATGATGACGGCGTCGAATTACCAATTGCATATATGTCCGAAAAATTGTCTAAAGCCCAACGAAATTATTCAGTCACCGAACTCGAATGCTTAGCAGTCATTAAAGGAATAAATAAATTCCGAGCCTACATTGAAGGGCAAGAATTTACGGTAGTTACAGATCACGCTTCTTTACAGTGGCTAATGAGGCAAAAGGATCTATCAGGGCGCTTGGCCAGATGGTCGATCCGATTGCAAGGCTTTTCATTCGAAATAAAACATCGTAGCGGATCGCAAAACGTCGTTGCCGATACCCTGTCTCGGAGGTACGAAGCCGACATTTGCGAACTTTTGAATTTTGGACCAATTATTGACGTATCGTCCAAAGAATTTACTTCCCAGGAATATCTAGATTTGATAAATAACATAAATGATAACCAGCATAAGTTACCAGACCTAAAGGTTGTCGATAAATTTGTATATAAGCGAACTGAACCCGCAAAAGATGATGATACAGCTAGATCAGACTGTTGGAAGCTTTGGGTTCCAGTGAACTTGAGAGAACAGGTCTTATATCGAGCCCACAATCCGGCGGATTCAGCTCACCTCGGAATCGGCAAAATGGTAGAAAAGTTAAAGCGACATCTCTTTTGGCCCGGCATGGTAACGCAAATTCGTGACTATATATCCAATTGTTCCACATGCAAGTCAACAAAAGGTCCTAATACAGTTCTTAGGCCACCAATGGGCAAACCTATGACATCGGAGAGACCATTCCAAAAATTGTACATGGATCTATTAGGTCCATACCCACGGTCAAAGAACGGAAACATCGGTCTTTTAGTCATTGTCGACCACCACACGAAGTTTCACTTCCTGCACCCGTTGAAAAAGTTAACGTCTAATAGAATCTGTGAGTTCTTAGAGAATCATGTATTTTACACATTTGGAGTACCCGAATCCATTTTAACAGATAATGGGTCCCAATTCAAATCTGGCTACTTCGAAGCGTTTTTAACTCGCTTCGGCACGTCACACATCTGCACCGCAAATTATTCTCCACAGGCGAACGCAAGCGAGCGATTGAACCGTTCCATATTAGCAGCTATACGCGCATATGTAGGAAAGGATCACACAAGCTGGGACAAGTATCTGAATGAAATTAGCGGATCACTGAGGTCTAGTGTGCATCGTAGTACAGGATTTCCACCATACTTTTTGTGCTTTGGCCAGAATATGATCATGAATGGTAAAGACTACGAACTTCTTAGAAAAGTAAACTTAGTTACAGACGACACTTCCTTAAAAACACCTGATCTATTGCAACTAGTGCGCGCGAAAGCTAAAAGTAACATCTCTAAAGCTCATGCAGCTAACGCGAAAACCTATAATTTGCGTAGCCGCACGATAAAACTAAATGAAGGCGATATTGTTTACGCACGTGGCTTTGCACAAAGTAATGCAAGCAAAAAGTTTAGTAGCAAACTCGCCCCAGCCTTCAATAAAGCTAGGGTTGTCAAGAAATTAAGTCCGACTTATTATGAGCTGTCAAATGAAAACAACAAATCTATTGGAGTGTATCACTTAAAAGACATAAAACTATAGACCGACTGATAAACGAAGTTACTGACCCTTTTTCAGTTAACATCTTCTCCAGTTGAGACTCTCGTAGTATTAACTGTGGTGTGGGGGCCAGTAAGTTGAAAAAATTAAACTTTTAATATTAAGTCGTATATAACCAGCAACTAAAGTAGAGTATTATCTCTCGAGGTGGTCAGCGTAATGTCATCTCGCTCCCACGCCTCGGCGGTTGTGTTAGTTGCATCTCCTCGCGTCAGTTTCGCACCTTATACATAAAGCGACAAGAAACGGCATCAAAGAATAAGACAAGCAATCACGCCATAGTTCCGTTAAATATCACAAGCGACAAATGTAGCTGGCGTGGCGTATCAGTTGCATAGCCAAAGTGAGTTATCCACGCGGTCACCTCGTTCACTTCGTCTTCAGCTGTGAAAACGAACAGACGCAACGGAGTCATAACGTCTGCTCATTTTTCTAATTAACATTGCTAAGATCACACGTGTTAAACTTTTTCGGTTATAATCAAAATTGAAGACAAACGTATTTGGTTAAGAAGTATTCGCGAACGCGACATAGTGTTGGAACAGGGAGCGTTAGCAGCGCCCGACAAGCCCAGATATCGGCCGGTCTGCGTACGGCGCCCCCGCGCTCTAAACATTAAACATAATTCGGCGACCGGCCGAAAGAGCCCCATAATCAATCACCGCCCCTATTTCGGCGATTATTCGGCGAATTAGTTAAGCTCCAGTTCACACCGGCTGAGGCGCAGTTGGCTCAACTTAAAGTTTACACCGGTTCTTTTCATCGCTATATATTTGTCTAACGCTTAAAACGACCGAGTTGTGTCTTGCATACCTTATCTTACTCGGCAGAGTATAGCCACGCTTGATAGCGTGAAGCGTAGGTGTGACACAAAGGAGTGAAGGAGAAGTCTTTATCTGGAAACGAAATAGAGTTAACCGCAATCGAATAGTCTAGCTCGCTCGATGTCTCGCGCGCATGCGTTCTAGTTGAAACAATCCGTCGTCAAGCCGCGTAGGATTATCAGCTGTTTGATGTTGTCTGGAGGCCAGCCAATCTGAGTTTGGATTCTTAGTTCTTAATTACTTTCTTTGCTTTCTTTATTGTTTTTTTTTTAATGTAACCTTAATATACAAATTTCCTGTGAGTACATAGTAGCGTTACCCGTAGCAGCGATTTCCGTTTAAATAATTTTCTTTATGCACAGCTACCAAAAGCTTTAAAGCACCACACCAACTGCACTTTCGATGGGCCCAACGAACCTGCACCGATGGATATAACAGTGAGTGACAAGTCCGAATATAACTTACAGTGAGTACGGCCTATTATTGGCGAACGAATTATTTAATCGGTTTTATCGCACTCGGAATGCTCGTGTATTAACATGAATATATATAATAGTTTAACACCGCCCTGTTACACCTGAGTCTAGGCAAAAGAAAACAAAATACTAAAGAGTAAAGCATTCTTATATGGATCAGATGATTGTTATCTGAAGTTTACTTTAATTAAAATGTACCGATAAATTGTACAGGAAGGTCCGTCGCCGGTACGATCCTACGCTGAAGTCATATTGTTTATGTTGAATTAAATAAAACATTAGTGAAGGGGTAACCACCCAAATTAATCACGAGTTACCAAGGTTGGGAGGGTAAAGAATGGGGAGCGATCAACACCTACCGCACCCTAGCCACTGAAATTCTCACATAACAGTCCGCCGTTCTCATTTTTATTAATTCTGTACGTGAGTACAGCCCGAATACATCTTATTGGACCTTCATCTTATTAGTATACAGTCAGTGCACTTATCCTTTCTGAGCACAAAAGGAGTGATATGTGAAGGGAAGAGGAAAAGACCCACGCCAAATCCGACGAGCATAGTATAGAGCAACGCTAGAAGTGCACACCTTCCGAATCTCTTCACCTCTGCGGAAGAACATCAACCGCACGAAGCTGGTGGCCTCTTGAATAGAGCACAAGATCGCATACATACCCTTCTGCATGCTACATTGTCGATGTCTGCAAAATGCATTCTGCTATTTTGGTTAACTACTTGGCCCTGGGCACAACGTCCGCCTGCGGAGCACTCTAATGAGGCAAATGCCATCGTGCGTATCATGTGTCACTAGGCAAATATCGGGACGACATCCAGAGCCATTATCCAACATGCTCCCTATCTCTTGAGCTATCTCTA